ATCTTTTTGCTGCGGAGATTTCCATCTCACCTTCAGTCATCACCTAGTATAATAAGAGTCTGCCAAGCCATGGCCATCTCAGATAGTCGCACTAGATAATACGTTTATGCTGTTTTTCACATTGATTTTTATTTTTATTTTTTAACAATTTGACGTGATATGTTAATTCATGGCTCTATATAACGTACTTTTATTTGATGCATCAACAAAAAAATCAGGCGTCCGTCACGTGTCCTATATATTTCTTCCTTCGCTTATTTCTTTTTATTATTCCTATTGTAATTCAAATAAATATACGACCTTTACTTTTTATGGATTAACATTAAAGTTCACTAGATTTCCCTCACAATCACTAGGATCAATAAATGAACATCTGTTTGTTTTATAACTTTAAATGTCATTTTTTTGAGATGAAACGCCACAGAGGAAGGAAAGAAGGAGGAGTTAGTGGTTGACTGGATTTGTTTATATGTTAACAGTTGTAAACATAATTTTCTCTTCGTGCAGTGTCCTTTTTTGGATGTGTGTATGTTATGGTCTTTGGTAGATCGATTTTATTCTTATGTTCATATGCGCATACTCTGCACATGTGACAGCTTATGATGTTTTAGATTATTGGTTATGATTTCTTCATTAAATATTAATTATCACTTCTTTTTCTTTACATTATTGTGCTGAATTCGCTTATCCGCATCAGAATGAAAGCCATCACAGCATTGAGATGCGCGACAGACCATAACATGCGGACCATAGTTTCTTGGTAAGTTGCATTAGGCCGAATGAACTGGTCTCTGACGAAATCTCAGGTCGGATTACAGAAGGCCCGTTCGATGTTCGCCAACTTGTATCATCTGAGGCTCTGATGAGACATCCGACTACTTATCAAATGATGAGTCTACTGCTCTACAGTCTGTTCTATCCTATTATACGACTGTGAGACATGACCGTTAAAAGTAGACGACATGAAGTGGTTACAGGGTTTAGATCATTGGTGTCTCCGTAGCATTGCTGTCGTGTGGTGGGCTCACCGCGTGAGTAATGTTGAGGTCATGCGAAGGATACTAGGCGAGACAAGTAAGTCGATTGGTAAGGTTGTGAACCTTAGTCGACTGAGATGGCTTGGAGATGTACTGCGCATGTCGAGCCACCGCCTACCTTGACGTGCATTACTAGGGGAAGGTGGATTGGATTGGAAGTGGGTTTAGGGTGGGATCAGTCGATGAAGCCGGTAGCTGTTGGTCTGAGCCTTGTGAGGCACTGTAGACTGATTGGTTGACTGTGGTCTGCGAAACGATAAGAATCGGTAGTTGAGGAGTGACTGTTGTTGACATGGCTGGAAATCAGTCACAATGGGGCAGATGTGTTCACTCCTTAGGATCTTCTAAAGCTTGAATATTTGCACTAACCATTGTTTTTTAAATTGTTTATTGTCTCACACAACTTTGTCTCTTTTGATATCACTGTTTTTCTATCCATCTGTTCTTTGTGTACTGCTGTGGATTGTGGTAATTGATCTGATGAGTTTGTGTGCGAGATTCTGCATTGATTTTGTCAGTCGGTCAAATAGGATGTTTATGTTTAAATTGGAGAAGTATGTGCAGTTTGATGGAATACACATATTTGTTGGAATTAGTATTGTAAGATTCGAAAGTTTGAGCTGTAACCGAAGTCATCTCTTGAAGTCGTTAACCTACAGAAATAGTCAGCTCTCTTAATTAGCATAGATATAGCAAACCAAGTATTTAAATCTATTGACTCGTCACTATATTTTGCTTATTGATCGGTGGTTATGTACTTAAGAATTTTCTATCTGCCTACTTTGAAGTGACATGAAGTTTTAAGTTTTGATCAGCTGTTTTACCTGACCCACCCTTGTAAGTTGTATGCACATTTCATTTTTAATTAGTGGTGTATGTTCGTTGTATACGGAGCAACCCCACTCATAAGTAACACTGCTGGTAGACAGAAATTTCCATTGTGTTTAATTCTCACGGCAGTCATATGTTTTAATATTCAGTATGATGAACCTGTCCTCTTAGTTTCATAATGGAAGTGTTTCCCATAGAATCATGTGCTTCGTCGTATGTTCACGTATATAATCTGTATGACATCCTACATACTATTTTCTTACGTCATTAGATTTCCTACAAAATAGAAAATTTCTTATCTTATGATTTTATTCTGTTCCTATGCTTATGCGTAAACGAGTGATTATTATTACGAAAGATTTTTATCAACGTGTTTCCATATGCTGTAATTCAAATTTATATGCTTTTAATGACACTTATCTTTCATTACATGTGTCGAATAATTCATTCTTCGATAGTGATTATGGCCATACTTATTGCGAATCGGTTTGCAGCCGGTGGAGACCCACGGTTGTCAACCTTTTGGATTCAAATGAATCCTTGATCTAGTCACCCCCAGTCATTTTTCCACCTAATCCTACCTCTGTACTAAGTCACTTTTCCCCACATCCTCCATGGTCATTGACATTTCATTGGTACATCTTCTCAACAGTTGGACTTAAGTGAAGTGAAGTTGCTGTTATTCGGTCTACACACAGCTTCCAATCAATTAGATGACTAGTTCAAGTTGCGTTTCACCTATCAAAGTTTGAGAAGTTAAGTAGTACAATCAGCCCTAACACAATAGGTTTAGCTCATTGTCAAGCCTCATACAGGAAATTGTATATGTTCTGTAAGTTACATTTCATTCGCGCGGATGTACATTAATACTCCCATTCCCGTCTATTGGATTTTCAAAAGGCAAATAAATGGTTTAACACTCATTTTTAAAGTTTTTTTTTATATACAATGGAATTATCAATTTTCCGTTTGATTTAAATGGTTAAACGGACTTAGGCAGTTCATATTTCCGCTGTGTATATTTAAAAAAAATTGATTTTTTCCTTTATATCCTGTTTATTATTAATTATTTTTCACGTGTTTTTCAGTTTTTCCATTACTAATTTTTAAGAATGATTAATCAAAATTTTCCAGAGTATAGTATATGAAAGAACTAATTTTGCAACAACACAAAATTCTAGTTCAATAAAGTTAGTTGTATTAAAAATGAAAGCTACCTTTCAGTGATGGAGGTTTAGTAACTAACGTGGTCATGAGAAGTAAACCAGTTTGTACATTCGAAAGTTATCATTATTATCTTATTGAGTAGAAAGTTCAACTGCTAACTGCAAAGTCATCGATCCTCACTTCATCGTATTTGTTATTATTATTTGTTGATAATTGTAATTCTCCGTGGTTATACTGGATTAAATTGATCGGTCTCTGTTGGCATATGGTCCTCCTATGAGGATGCTCTGATATTGCTTGAAATTTTTATTGTTATAATTGACTTGGTTTTTGTTGAAACTGTTTGAAGACGAGTTACAGCCCCCAGTGAGAAAAAAAGGTGCATATATACGTATATCCGCTTCAAGATGAATATCCCGAAGTTCTAGTGAGAAGTCGTGACCTGTGGAGTCAACCAGTCGGAAGTGAAGCAAATGTTAACTGAAGACTTTGGATAATAGTTGCACTACATCGCGAATCGACAGAAGTAGGAAACTGTGAACCATTTAATTCCGACCCAGCAGCTAAATGGTTAACGCGTACGCTGTGAAACCTGAAGGTCTTGAGTTCGGTCCCTAACCGGGTAGCGAAAGTGCGTACTGCTGAGTCCCACACTAGGACGAAACATCTATCCACTGCTCCTAGGTTTTTAATGGTTTTTCAACTGATTTCATTCCGTGATAAATACTACTTTAAGATCCCTATTAACCTCAAAATAGAGTATTTTATTATCATTTGTTGACACTTGCAGTTCAGAAAGTAACAATAGTGAAATGACTTTATATAGGCTGGCAATCTGTATGTTAAAACCCTTATACTGAGACGTGACCATTTAGTAGGATGTATTCGGTATTAATTATTAGCTAGTATAATGGATATCAAAAGTCCTTCCCTTCACTATGAATTTAGTTATTGAAATCTCACCATAAAAATACGTATTTACAGCTATACTTATCACTGTAAAGTCGATCGCTCACAGGAGAAATTCGATGCACACACATTTTTTAACAACGTAAGATAATAGATACAATTCATAATGCACCTCATGAAATTGTGACTGTTAACTGTTTAGCATTATTTTGTATCTATTATCTAACCTTTAGAGCGAAAAAAATCTCAACCGCGAAATTAGTATGCAACATTTATACTTGTACATTTCTTGACCAGTGAAAACTGTGTGTTTGAATTCTTAGCTGGGGATTTTCAGGATTAAACTCTTGCTGTTGTTTACAGAATTGTCTGTGTCATATTAAGGGGACATTGTGTTTGAGTTGGTTAATAGTAGTTATAACCGGGAACACCATAAAGTTAGAGGCTTATTTAGGATTGGTACTTTCTTGTTGCTCACTTTGCCAAGTATACAAACGACCGGGGACTTTAAAGGCTGCTCTAGCAACTGTTGAGATAACCAATTACGTTCCTCTATTTAATGAAAAACTACTCTTCCAGGTGGAATATGTAAACCTGATTGGTTATTTAGTCAGTTACTAGGGTGACCTTTAAAGTCACTACGAGTGACTGAAATTACTAATTACGATTAAACCAACGTAAGTGATTTTTTTATGATTAGTATTTTATCTGAAGTTACAAAAGTGGGGTTCATTTGTTTCTTAAATAACACATATCTAACTTATAGATTGCTTAATTGTAAGTATGTAGGCATAATTGCGTTGGATATATCAACTACATGCAAGTTCACTCACTAGGTTATAACTGTTAATGGTACTATCTTGCTACTTAAAACTGTGGTATATACAGTTTTCTTCGAACCTGTAACTAACTGCTTGAACGTTTAATGCCAAAGTCAGTTTTCTAAAGCTCTATTTTGCTGAGTTTTAATGGAGAAATTATTATTGTTACTGCATTATATGTTAATTTGAATCCTTTACATATCATATGTCTAATATTTAATTTTGATCTCCACAGGCAGCTGAATCATCTAGTCGTTCACGTAGAACTTCTTGTTCAATCCATGTAAATCGTAATTTACCACAAGACTATTCTTCACAGTCAACTGAAGTTGAGCCTACTAAAAAGTCAAAAACACGTAAACGATCAGTTCGTAAAGTGGTATCAGCAGTTTCTACAACATCACCTTCTATTCAGTCGGAAAGGTCTTCTCCATCGTCATCTGATTCAGTTGATTTGAATTCTGATAGTATTTTGGAAGGGGTGAAGGAAAGTTTTATCCACGAGAAAGGTGAGTATGCAGTAGGCTTAATGTATGTACTGAGCAATTTCTTCTGTGCATGTGTACGACTTCACTTTAAATCTTCTGTTAAAGCAAGCTAGATTAGTTCGTGATTTTCTAATTTACTGTTCTGATGTACGGCTTTGGTTGATATATTCAACATGCACCATATACTAGTTTCTTTTGTCTGGCATAGAGACATAAAGTAAGAGGATGGTTGTAACTTGTTGACTGTACAAGTAGAGATTTGACATTGCGGTAAAACATAATTGTTTACTGAGCATGACATGCAGTATTATGTACCAAATGACTTTTAGCTCCAAGTTATTGTTCGTAACTACATCTGTTTTGGGACTCACTATTTAGTCTTACCACTTGTCACTGTTGTATTCCTGTAGTAGCACATTTTTATACACACCCAGAATTGGTTTTTCACCATTTCTGTCGCTTGTGCTAGACATCTTGATTCAGTGAAAAGGGTTTTAGTAATGAACTTCCTATTTCACCTAACTATATTTGCCTTTAGGATTGCTACTCTGTCCTACCATGTTGTGTACTTCTAAACCGATGCATTCATAGCAGTGGTTGAGTTTTTGTCCAGTTTACATATATTAGTGAGTGGTCTATCCCTCTAAACTTATATAAATACTTTGTTTAAACGTATAAATTCCCATTGCTCATTTTACTAAACATGATGGTGTTGGGTTCGAGTCCCAGTGAGGACGCTTCCACTCAGTGAAATTCGGACGCTGCTGAATAGTGAGTCCTAAGTAGGATACAACGCACATCCTCGATTAGATAGTTAACCACTATCAATTAATTTAGATAAGCCGTTTTGGTTTGACTCGACTGACACCAAACAGCTCCTCCGACCTGCTTTCAGCTGACCTAACAGTCATCGATTTTGTTGACCACATTGTATGTGAAATTCATTCTCCTACACCATTATACAAAGTTGTTTTCTTTCTTCTTGAATGATCTGTCCAGACATTTGTAACTTTTATGTTGCTACTGTAAACTGGGTTTCCCACTTAAATATGGTGTGATTTCTACACTTCGATTGTTTAAGCATCCTGTTTTCGGTCACTGGATTACAGGTTCTTATCATTAGCCTTTATAAAAATAGGCGTTATCGATAGCTCACTCTGCAAATATGTACTGAGATACTGCATTGTTTCTTCGTGTAAATTTTAGGTACCTGTAGGGATTTATATACTACACAACTCCTCATGACAATGTCAATGCAGCTGTTGGTTTTACCACATGTTTAGTTGTTAGAATATTTCTTCATATACATACGAGGAGTCTATCGTTTCATTGTTCAAAGGGTTATATAAGTAAAAACTTAACTGGAATTAGTTGATATCACTATGTATCCAATTAAATACACAATTTTCTCTTGATTATCATCGACTGCTTAAAATAAAGGAGACTGGACCGAGTTTTCACTAAACAGTGAGGTTATTGAACAACTACTTTGTAGTTTGATAAAATGTACATCCGTTATTCATACTTTAGCACTTGTTGTTGGTAAAGACCGTGTATATTTATCCTGTGACTGAATTATGAAGATTTTCATGTCACATACCTAGATCTGGACAGGAAAGTAATATCATATTCTTTCCTATAATCGTCGTTGCATGTAGCCAATTAACATTTGGGTACACATATTGACAATACCATTACCAAACTGTATTTATTTCGCATAAAAAGTTATGTTGACCGTTATTTCTGTGTAATTCACACCTGCTCGCTATGATGATTTACTAGCTTGAGTTTTAAGGCTTCTCCACACGTTAGAAACATTTTCCAATTTATGTCTGTAATGAGTTAATTTTAAAAAAAATCTAACTTCTTAGAAGTTTCTAAACGTTTGGTATTAAACTTTAGAAATGTTAATTCATATTAACAATAAATAACCGCTCATTACGTAAAATAGTGCAGAAATAACATATAGTTTAATTAGAATAAAATATCTTTCGACTGAGTTCAGCATGATTTTAGATCAATATGTTCCTACTGGTTGTTAGCTGATCGCTAGTGTATAGAGGAGTTGGTTACTAAAATCCGTAGTGTTACTCAAAAAAGATAAACTATGATCATGCAGGTGATTTATTCTTGACATGATTGTATTTAGAAGGTTACTTTTTTAGCTTTATATTTCGTCTTCTTAAATGTTTCCTTATAACAGTTGTGTGTTGGAGCATTGGTGTATCCAATTTGAAGTGTATCGTTTACTTATTCTTTGCAATAAATTAAATTGCTTCGGACGGGAGACGTATCAACAAAATCAGCGATGGAAAGGCTCAAGTTGTCACGGTAACATCGCAGATATGTAAAGAATCGATAAGGAAATGTATATATAAAGAGAGAGAGAGGGAGAGAGGTAGTATTCACCGCGGACTGATATCAGTTGGGAGTACCATTGAGAACCTGGGAGCAGTGAACAGCTGTTTCGTTCTACTATGGGACTCCTCAGCATCCATAACCTGGCTGGGGATCGAAATAAGGACATTCAGGTTTCATGGCGAATGCTCATTAGTGACATGCTTCCGGACGGATATCGATGGATTTCTATGTTTTCCTCATCTAATTTATATCCACAGTTATCTATATGCGTGGATATGAGCGAAGACATGTGGCATTTGACCGATAGTCGGTTGTCAAGTAAACAAAGAGTGTGACCATCTTACTAAATGAAATGTTTATCGTAGTTTCTGTAGTTAGTTCTCCAGATTATGTTCGATTTTTTTCCCGTCTTTGAGTCTTAGTGCATGTAGTGTCAAGTGAAGACATTTTATGAGCTACAGCGTTTGTGAACAGCTCCAGTAGTTTATTTGCAATTACCGAGACATTACTCATGCAGGGCTGGACGATGCTTTGATTAGTTTTTAAAGATAACTTTGCAGTTGATGGTGGATTTGACAAATGTGACGAATTTGTGCGAATAGTTGTTCTTTCGGGAAACAACCGCAAAATGGTTTTATCAGTTATTTCTTAATACAATCGTAATGCAGTGTTTTTTGTTTTCAAGTCATCATTAACATCAATATACAACCAGGGATTACTACATAACGGTCCAAGTTGCCACACTTCATATCAGTATATCAGACGGGAAACATGAAGGTGAGAGACCAAGAAATGAAAAAGAACCAGTCAAAATTCGTAGAGAATACTGAAAAAGAAGAAGGAGGAACAGCAAAATACTGAGTTCAGTATGATGATTAAGACGAGGATAATGCGTGGGTACATCGCCATTAAGATCGACGATGAAGGTTCACAGCCTCGTCAATTGACTTTCCTCTTCTCGCTAAAAATCTACATCCGACTTCCCCATTACTTACATGGTGACGCTGCGACACAACCTATGCTGCGAAAGCAACGGTGGTCAAACGCCCGAAGCCTTCTCATGTCTTCTATCTTTAATGGACATGTTTCACAGCCATAGAGTAGAACAGAACGGACTGCAGCACAGTGTACTCGACCCTTAATAGATAATCGGATATCAAGGCGGCGCCACATATGGCGAGTTGGCAAGAGCCAACCGAGCCTTCTGTATCCGTATAGGAATTTTGTCGACCACTGACCCATGAGGGATGATCCTACTTTCCAGGTGGGTGAAGTGTTCTATGCACTCAACCATTCCACCTTGTACACCTTGTTAAACAAGGCACCAACGAATACCGGTGCTGGAACGAAAGCTTGGACTTGGGTGGTGAGAAACACATGTAAAATATTGTCAAATTACCACTCAAGGTGTCCAGAAGACTGTGCATCTTGTCAGCGTCTTCACCTAGCATGACAATGTCATCTACGCATTGTATGTCTACCAAAGATTCTCCTATGTTAAGATTAACCTGTGTAAAGTAAGGAGACGAGAGTGAAACCTGCATAAGTTCATCTACGATAAATTTGAATAAGAATGAAGCGAGTGGATATACTTGACGGTTCTCGAGCTCCATTCAGAAGTCTAATGGAACTGAGAACTTTATATGCTGTTCGTTAGACTAGTTTCTTTGTAGTTATCACAAAAAAAATTGTCTCCTTTCTCGAATACTCGGACAATCAGTGATTGAGACCATTCCGAAGGGGATCATATCTGACTTCCACACGCTAGTTAGAACTCCAGCTAGCCTGATCAATAGTCCTCTACCACCGTCCTTAAATACTTTTAGTAAAAGTCCGTGTAGTCCTGCTGATCTTTCTTGCTTGAGATCACTTACAGCTTTCTCGATTTCTTTAAGTGTTGGAGATCGTATCCTATTGTTCCTTTCGGATCCAACTGAATGGCAGTCAACGGAGTAGTACCTGGCTGATGTTTGAACTGTTCCTCGAAGTGTTCCGCCCATCATTCCATTCCTTTTCCATCTCCTTAGCCTTCACTACCCACTACTGTTCTTGGTCATTGCGTAGATTTTCTATCAGTCTACATTTGAGTGGCTTCTGCTTCTCACTGTTCTCGGAGCCTGCAAGTTTGTGTTTGCATGCATCCATCAATTCAAAAGAAGATACGGAAATCCACTGGCCCTTTGTAACCACTCTCTGGAAGTTGACTACGGTCCTCGATGCTACTTTTACAGTAGACTGAGGATGGCACCATGCCTCTTCTGGATGAGTGATGTTCTGTTTCGACAACTATCGAGCCAGTTTCTCGCTAAAAGTATCCTTAGTGTTCTTATTGTCAATCTACACTCGCAGTGGCCTTGTGAGTGCAGTTTTTCTGTATCTGTTTGAATGCAAACTATACGTGCGTTTGTGAACAACTGATTTTGTGCACCGTTTGATTGTTGTTATTATAGGTTGGTTTAACTTTTATTTGAGTTTCCACTTTTTATTGGTTGATTCTTCGTCTCAAATCATGTAAACATTGAAACTTTCGTTTGATTCCTCTTCGATTATGTTTTATAAACTTCAGGATCAAAATTTAACGTGATAGAATTGAATAAGTTGAGGATTTGATTAATAGGTTATAAGAGAAATATATTTGTAAAATCTTAATGAAGCAGAAAAATAAATTTCCGATGTTTCACGGTTTCATGGAAGCCACCTCTTTAGAGAATAAAACCTGTACAAGTTATCACATATTTAAATAGGAGGCGGCGGCAAATCAGACCACGTTGTTCGTGCATGATAATAATATGGAAATAGATGTTATTGTTATCAATTATTAGTCTTTGAGATCACTGTGAAGATGTGAATGTTTGTGCATATGTTATGGGTGTGAAGATGTGATAAAAATACTATGTACTTTAGCTATGGCTAGTATGTACAGCGTGTTATTTTGGATATATTGTCCAAGTTGGTTGTATAGTAGGCCTTCCTTTCTGTTGAGTGCATTAGGATTCAAAAGAAAGTGAAATACCTCTTCAGCTATCCATCTTTCCTCGTGGTCTGAAAATCTTTAGTGAATAATTTTAATGTTTTCAATATCAGTTTTGTAGCTGTAAAAGATGGCATGAACAACAATCGCTGATTTGGTTTGTAAAGTTTTCGGTTCCACGGGATCATTTATAGGTTGTTTTATCAAGTTTGCATGTTCTGTAGCATGAATGAAGATTTCACGGGATGATTTCTCCATATAACAAGGACCACAATCGACATAGTCTAGTCTCTGCAGACACAGTTCTGTGTGTAGATAAAACGAATTCTTTTTTGTTAGGTGGACTAAAGCATTCCTGAGGGTGTTGGTTGTCTTCTACAAGGCTTTTACTCGATGTTCTCTTAAAATCATTTGTAACTCTTCAGGCGTACATTACGGGAACGGTTCTCCCAATTTTCCTCTTATATTCTTATGCTCATGGTTTTTAATCGTTTGAATGTTATTCTCAGGGTAGTTATTGGAATGTAATACATCCATTATGTTTTTTTTAAATTATAATTATAAATCCAATGTGATCGGAAACTGCCGATCAACCTGCAACCATTTTCTAGTTTGTTTCTTGTAATTTTGGCAAATATATTGTCTGAATAGCAGATCCTCAGTTTCGTTTTGATCTATTGAGAAACAACGAACTTCAATTTTCACATCATTGATTGTGCACTTGGTTGGGGGAGAGTGTTTGTAATCCTACTACTTTTCTTTTCACCAATTTGCCGTTGAACTGAAATATAAGAAACTTATACACTAAATTTTTATGTTTTACAAAATTTGTATCAGTAACAAGAAAGAAAGTCACTTTTTGGCTAATTTGAAGTTAATACAGTTGTGACATCAAAGGATATCATCAATTCACCATTGTCATTCTGAAGTTTCTTACTTTTCTTCAAAGAGTATGTTAAAGAGGTGGTACAGTGGTCACGTGATCTTACCAGGTGGTTTAGTTCTTACGAATATAATTGCTTAAAAACCATTTAGAGAAGACTGTGAAGCCAGCAAAGTTATTAGGAACGAATTTCGTTTTGAATTTGGGAGTTTGTGGGGAATAAGCAGTTTTTTCAAGTTTCCACTCATCATGGACTGATATCAGATGGAAGAACATTGGGAACCGGGGAGCACTGGATAGCTGTTTCGTCCGACTAGTATGAGACTCCTTAGCAGTGCACACCTATGACTCCGCCAGGGATTGAACTCAGGGCCTTCAGGTTCCGTGACCAGCACGTCGTGAACTGATAGAAATTGGGAATACAGATCATTGGATTCCGACCTAGTGGTTCAACGGTAACGTGCAGGCCATGGAACCTGAAGGTCGCGGGGTCATGGGTGCGCACTGCTAAGGAGTCCCATACTAGGACGAAACAGCTGTCCAGTGCTCCCAGGTTTCTAATGTTCCTCTAACTGATGTCATTTCATGAATACCAACTTTAAAAAAAAGTTGTTCTTATGAACGGATAAAGGCATTAATAAGAATTCAATAAAATCATGCGTATGTTAATATAGTCATGATTGACAGCTATTGTGTGGATTTAGAGGAGATAAATTATTTTCTCATGGTAGATTGATAAACTGTAAAATTATAGGTAAAGTAGTGAGTAACTACTTCTTCATTTTACTCTAAATATGCATCTGTAGCTCAAAAATAAGCTTTTACCACCAGGTGATAATGGGTTTTCTATTAGAAACTTTATAACAGTAAGTTAGTTACCTTCCTATTGAGTAGGCGCGGTTAATATTTTCATTCTACACCATGATGAAAATAAATACAAACATTTTTTTACTGAAAAACTAATTTTCACTTACTCGAAAAGTAAATTTACCCATGAAGCAACAAAATAGAAGTTGCCTATCATTTTGTAATATTTCTTTTCCGATTAGTTTGTGCATTTCGAAACATTGGTTTCTGGTTAGTACAAACTATTTGTGAATTACAAATATTTGTATGAAGGAAAAACAACAAAAATTTCTGTACATAAAAGGACAGTTACTCAAGGAAATTAATGAAGATTGTAGCTCAAAACGAATGATTACGATCCGTGTCAAAGAAATGGATAATACTGAGCAGTTGTTTTACCAGGAGATTTATTTGTTAAATTAGTAGAAAAGAAAACCAGACAAGTAACCACCTGCTCGTTGTTTGCTGCAACGTCGCATGCCTAACACCCTATATTTTTACTGATGCAAACAAGGCTTAAGTTTCTAATTTTAATTAACTCTGTGTCTGTACGCTTCCTATCAGAGCAGTTTTATAAGTAGAATAACATGGCAAGCCCATTGTCACTTTCACAAGGATTGTTCTATGGGACGCTGCACTTAGCAGCTACATGGACGTTCGTGCAGTAGGCAGTGGCCCACATCATTTTTGTGTGGGTTAATGATAATACCTGACTGTTCGGACTTCGGCAAGTGGGACGGGCCTCCAACCCCATACCTCATCGGTCGAAATTCGAGCTCCTAGATGAATGAGCTACAGCTCTCCACAAAAGAGAGGGGTTCATGATAGGATCTAAGCGGAGTCCCAGCTCATGTCTTTGGCTTATAAGCATAACACAAACAGTAAGTAGCTATCAAAAATTCCTGATCAAACTCGAGTTTATAAAAGCTTTTTGTCGATATCTTTTACTCCATGGTCATTACTGTCAACCTAAATAAAGCCACTATAATGTCATTTACGGATGTAACTGTATGATTTTTAATACTGTCTTTATTTGCACTATTATTATTAGTAGTACTGTACTCAGGTCTTTTAAGTTCTTATTATTTCTTTTATCTAAATGTTATGCTGAAATTATTTTTCCCCTATCCGGATGTACGTATACAGTGGTTGACTAGTCAAGTAATAGACACTTGCAGTACTTATTTTTTATCCTCTAACTTACCTACCTCTGTTAACTGCATAGGTTTAAGTTATCTGGATTTATAGATAGTTGCACAGCCTAGTCATAAATCCCTGGATACACACGCTTCTCTGTTCTCCGGTTATTCTAATGGAGGCAACATTGCATATCGAAGTGGTCTATCGTTGAACATATGCGATTTACGTCCGAATGTGTTTAATTGGCATTTATTTAGGACGTAATTTGTTTTCTTCCCTCTAATCCTCACATTTTTCACCGAGTTATTGCAACAGAAGCAAACAACTCAGTGTTTCGTTGAGGAAAGTATATAATCTACTCTTCATTGTTGACTAAAGTCTCTTAGTAAAAATACAATGTGACCACTGAATTAAATAACATGCTATGACAGTACATTAGATTGAAGTCGAATGTTGAAATCGCAAACAACATGGTCAGTATTTATAAACTGAATGGCATTACCCTAGTTATTCTTCATTGACTAATCGGTGTACGTCATCTAACTCTACTCAAAGTAATTTTCAATCAGAAAAGCTGATTGTTTTGATATTTTTTAAAGTAGCGCTGTTTGTGTGACGACTATTCTGTTTGCGAGTGATGGATTATTTTGGTCGAGCTTGTGAATACATCTCACCGTTTTTGTGTCGCTGGTTCGAATCCCGCCATGGTCCAGATTTTCACTTCACTATCAATCATCACCCAATATCTTTATTAATTGTTATTACTAATCGTGATATCATGTTGATGTTTTTTTATAATTATTAGTGAATGATAAGCTATAAAGGAAATTATTTTTTTACTGAAATTTTCTTTCTTTAAGTTGCTCTCTGTCACGAGGAAGTACCAATTGTTAGTAGACTGTCGACATCTACTGATGCTATCCAGAAGGATTCAGACGCTAATACAAATCACCAACCAGTGAAGACATGTAATGTTCCGGTCAAATCTCATAAGGAGAAGAAATCAGATGTCATACTCCAAGAAACATCCAAGGTTAAATCAATGCCGTCGTCGGCATCATTATCTATTACTCAAACAAATGATTCAAATATTATTATGCCTACTACTGCCACTATTTCAGATGTGTTGGATGGCGCTAGTGATGAAAATGACGGTGGGTGGTTAAGCGCAAATACAAAGACAACTAGACGCCGGCGACGTAATAAAGACAGCAGACAGTCTGAAAGTAAAGATCATGATGACATGGTTGGAAGCAAATCAAACATACACGTTGTTTCACCACAGTCACAGCAAACCTCATCAGCAGAACAAAACAAGAATGAATCTGATACTGTTCATTTCAGTGATCAGGACCAACACTGTTTAGTTACTGAGTCTAGTCCTTCTGAAAGACCTGAACCTGAGTGTGACCACAAACTAGTTGATGACTGCTTAACGTCTCAAGTGAGTTCATTATTGTCATGATGCTTAATATACACTATTTTTTGAAAGTAATAACTATCCTCAAACAAGTAGTATGTCAGCAATTGATCGATGTGAAGCTGCTTGTAATTATAAAGTGGTTTTGTTTAAAGGAATGACGCAATTTATATTGACCGGAAATTACTGTGGAATGTTTTATCCTTCCTACTGTATATTCACGAATATACAACTAAGAAAATGACTTCATCAAAAAGAAAATTTTTTATTCGCTTCAATCGTCCGTTTTCTTATGACTAGGACTGTCTCAACAACTGAAACAACCTTCGGATTATTAGACAGTTCTTTCAAACACAGCATTCTGTGTTATTTATAACAGAGTGATCCAGACAAAGTAAAACTTCGCACTGTGAACCCAACCATTGAACCGATGGGTTTTAGCTCAGTGATTAGTAGGACGACTGCCTTAATATTCAGTTGATCTCGTGAGATGCTTTTAACGGCATCGAATGATGTTTGTTCTGTTGTGAGGTTGCAAGACTGTCCAGCATTCTTTGGATTTACATGATTCTTCACGTGGTTTCAGTTTGTAAAAGCTAAAACCAGGGTAATATCTATCGAAGGATAAAATTGAAATGGCTATTTTCTTCTAATTTATAGGGATGATCTCTTGAGTTGACAGAAAATCTAGGTTGTGGTAAAATTTGAATCAGCCGTCTCCTAGTTACCATTCGCATTTCTGTCGACCAACTTACGAAAATTTACTGTCAACTAGATTCAAGTTTCACTAAAACCGCGGAGATTTTCCCTCGATTTTCATGTGTAACTGTTAGTTCATTATCATGCTGCCGAAAGTTTTATTCTTGTTGTATTCAAAATGTAGCTGAATTTGAGATTTATTGGTATGTACCTAATTGGGTGCAAAGTTTTAGAGATTGGAGTGAAACTGCAACGCGATGGGTCGGATTTCTCAACTCATTTCCCAACCTGATATTTATCAGGCTGGCAACCTGCAAGTTACTGGTTTGAATTTTACCCTGGCCCAAATCTCACTTGGTGGTTTAAGAAGATGAATATTAACCATTGGGTCACGGGTTTGAGCTTCACTCCGCCTGCCGAGGTTTCGGCAGCCTGGTAGTATCACTTGACCTCACACAATAGGTTTAGCTCATTGCCTACTGCACGGATGTGCACAATATGGTTGAGTACATCTTTTAAAAAATCATTTGTAACCACTCATCATACAGTAAGATGATTTTACTAAACAAGACTACTTCAGATAGTTCCATGACCAACAAATTATATTTTTCCCCCGAAGTTTATAGCGTCGAAGTTTCAAAAACAAATAAGTTTGATTATTTCTTGATCCCCACGTTTTTCTATACTTTGAACTATAGTAAGGATTGATAATCATTCATTCTCAGAACTTGTGATTAGGTTTGATTTGAATATATGACTACTGGATCTCCGAAGCCTTTAAGTTGATGTGCTTTGTAATATGCGATTTAAAGAAATTCATACGCATTTTGGTATTGTTGTATTTAGTGCTCACAAATTAAAGCCACCTTAACTTTTACAACACTAGTGTATGCGCCACATTCAATTTGTGAAGGCTAATATATATATATATATATATATATATATATATATATATATATATATATATACAAGTTGTTATTCATCGTAGACTGACATCAGTTGGAGGAACGAAGGAAACCTGGGAGCACTGGACAACTGTTTCGTCCTAGTATGGGACCCCTAAGCAGTGCGCACCCATGACCCTGACAGGGATCAAACCCGTGACCTTCAGGTTCCGTGGCCAGCACGTTACCATTGAACCACTGGGTCAGAATCCAATCGTCCATATTTCCAACTTCTGTTAGCTCACGATATAGCTCAACCGCTACCCAATATCATCTTTGGGTAACTGTCCTCACGAGCATCAGGCTTTGCCCTCACCGGTCACGACTTCTCATTGGAACTTCAGGGATACCTCTCGAAGCTAGTCACCAATGAGCACCAGTTCAATTGAATTTTGAGGGAGTTGTGGGGATTCGGATATATATATATATATATATATATATATATATATATATATATATATATATATATATTGCACTATCAGGTGTTTTAGCCAATTTAGTGTGTTCAGATATCTTTTGCAAGCCTAAATGAATGAGTTTTATTGCTACAGAGTAGATGTATAACGTGCGGAGAAAGCACTTTTTATGTTCTTATACGTTTGCTAGATATTCAGAACAAGCGGAATTATTGTCTGGATGAAAATAATGCCACAAAACAGTCTTTCAGGAAGTTACGGCTGACACTGAAAATACTATTCATCCGAAATCCACCCAACATCCTTATACATATTCGTACACTAGGCAATGAGCCACAATTATTGTGTGGAGGCTAATGATACTACCTGAATGCCCAAACCTCGGTAGGTAGAGTGGTGTTCGAAACCGTAACCCACTGTTTGAATGTCAACTCCCTAAACCAATGAGCCACAACTCTACTATAATCCTCTTACAATTAGGCGAATGTAGTTAAGAAAAATTGCTCAATCAAACCTTTCACTTCTCTCATGTTTCCTCTTAAGAGAATTTCTCGTGAGTTCTCGAATGATGTTTATCGACGCTGCTTATTTGCAGCAGTCTAATCATTCCTATGTTGTTGGCCACCTCACGAATGAATTTTCATGTATCTATCAAGTAGAAGAGAGATCTTTATAGTTCCACTCAACCTATAGATTGTTTAACTGTATGAGTTTACAGTGCACTATTTCTTGTTCAAAACCGATGTGGTAGCAAGTTTGCACCACCAGTTCTGCAGTAATGAAAAAAACTACACTTAAAGATCACTCTGATAGTTCCATGTATAAGTCTGTAACAAGAAGGCATACTCACAGTTTTAGAGATGTCCCATAGGAAGTTAAAACCAAAAAAAAATCAATAAGTTATGTAGTCACTATTTATCTACACCATTGGTGGGAAAAACCTACAAAGTTGATGAAGATACTCTGACATCCTTCATCTTTAAAGTCACATCGGCTAATAAGAAACTATATTTCAAGTTGTTATTCATCGTAGACTGACATCAGTTGAATAACAACTTGAAATAATTCCAAATCTCCACAACTCCCTCAAAATTTAAGAAACTATATGTTTTGTACAGTGAGAATCTCTTCTATGTGTGTATTCATGAAGTTATTCGAAATCATTCGAGTACAAAAGTAAACAATAAAGAGTATAAGGATGCATTCTTGTTTAGAGAAATAAAACTATCCATCATTTTAATTACTTTTAAATAAGGTTATACCACAATTTCACCATATGACATTGCTTTGCTAATTCAGTGTACAAATTCACTACACCTTTTCAAGCACAACCGCATACCTAATTATCCATTACCTTTAAAGATCCATTAATTTGTAATAAATTATCATTGAATTGTGCACAAATATTGGTTCACCAACAAACGAATGACACTAGTTTGAGGGTAGAGAAGAACGAGGGAGAGAACTGAGTGGAAGTATATTTGGGCTATTCAACCCAATCGATATAACAAATCAAAATCATAAGTAAAAAGAAACTATCTGTATTATCCAACCAAAAAGAATATGCTATAAAGATACCTCTATACTTAATAAACATATCCAAAAGCTGATTGTGGTCAGATCGAAACAAGTAATTACAAGTAGTTTGTTAAATAGCAATGAGGAAAAAGAAATACATTTTGACTCAATAAAAGTCGAAGAACATGCTACATGTGATATTTGTGGTGTAAAGTGAGGAATTCCACCCAATCTGCCTTATTAGAAGTCTTCAATTATTGTCTCTCTATGTGGGCTTGAGACCATGAAAGCTTTAAATAACATCTAGTAGGTGAAATGATGTGTTATACTTCTGCACAATCTTAACATTTAGGGTTACCATGACTTCTCATTTTGTATTCGGCTGAAAATATCAGCAAAAGCCTTTTGATTTGTTATGTCGTCATTGCAGTCAGTTTCTGTTTGTTCACGAAGTTGTCGTTCGTTGTTTTAATATCCTGACTTTTAATCACTAGGTTATAAGCTTGAAATTTATTCTCTACTTTCTCATCACTTAAGCAACTAGAGTCTATCAGTAATTTATACCACAGGTTACTGATAGCCCATCCTGTTAACTGATGTGACTGTATGACGTGGGTTCTAATAATAAGCGAACGAGATACTTGGACTAGATACTAGTAATGCGACTATTCTCCTCTATACCGTATACTTCACTGAGCTGCGAAAATCAGAAGACAAAAGACGGGCCTGTGACTGGTTTAAGGAAGGCGGTTTTATTTGACAAAAAAAACAGTATTTATATGCACCTGCTACTCAGAAAATGAAGCCACTGGATCAATCAGATGGACATAAATCAAGGTCTGAAACGAAAATATTTCTACCTTAACGACGAATGACCTTGAACGATGATTCCCATTCTCGGCAACTTCCTAACAGTAACTGAGTCGTATCAGTTATTGATGAAAGCCTTATATGGAGTATTGTAATCAGAGAATGCTAATTGGCTTTAACCTCTTTTGTTACCAAACATCTTAGTAATATTCATTGATATACATTGACCACTGTGACGATTAAAAACAACATTATACTTACAATACTAGTTGGTAACATCCTATGAAGGATAACTGAGTACCACTAGGTAACCGTATGCAAAGTATTATGTTCTCGTCTCTGGGTCAAATGGCTGAAGAGCTATAGCTCAGTGGTGAATCTACTTGTGGTGTTTACGCAACTAAATTATGAATTAATTTACTTGTACTAGTACTAATGGTAGCTCTAGTAATTGAGGATGATACAAGGAGAACAAGGATTGTAACTGTAGTATTTATATTTCAAGCAGTCTGAAACCAGCTCACGCAAACCCGATCGCCCAGCGTTAAATAAGCTACTCTAAAGGTCACCCTAGCAGCTGCTGAAATAATCAATTAGGCTTCTTTGTTTTATGGCTGGAGAGGTAATTTTTAAGTGACTCTAAAGGCTACCCGTGGTAACGACTAAAATAGCCGATCAGGTCTGGCTGTTTCTGTTGGAATGGCAGATTTTCATAAAATAGGTGACTATGATTGGTCCATTTTTTCAGTTGTTGTTAGGGTGGCCCCTTTAGAGTCACTCCATTAAGTATCTATATTGACACTAACGCAGTTCCAGTAGAATAGACTTATTTGTGTGGCAAGTGGTAGTCAATAGGATTATAGTATTAAAGTCGCATGGAGCATCAGTATGCAATGCGAATATCGTCAGACATACGAATGTTATTCATGACTTGACGAGATATAAACTCATACGTGGATCACATACATATCTAAGCAGTCAAAACGCACAACATCTCCTTACTGAAACGTGTTTTCCTTCACCAACTAATGTAGGTTCAATAATCGGTAAGGTTTTGAAAAATCGTAAGGTCCTGCTCAACAGAATAGAAGTCGTGGTTCTTCAATATCTGAAGGTATTAGAGCCATAGCATTCACAAACATGGAATCACTAATTATAGTCAGTGACAGTTTCGGTAATAAACATAGGTATACGGAATGTGACGAGTAGATCTGAAATGAACTTTAGGTAGACTCTCGAATTGTTTTTCATGGCTTCAACATCTGCATCTAACTGTATACTTTCCTTATCCCTCTTCTCAAGGGAAGAATCAATTTTTAGCACCGACAGTTCGGGGATGCAAGAAGTAGTCTAGGAATTCACCCTAATTGTTCTCGTATTATCTTGACATTTAGGAGTATTTCACACTAATTCTTAGTTTGCTCTACATTGCAAATCATTCTCATCTGGCTCTTCATTGGAAGCATAATTATCTATCGCTCTTAAGTCAGGGATACTTGTATCATTTTCAGTTGTCATTCAAACAATTTCTGTATCCTCAGTATGGCATGTGACTGGGATAATAGCACCCAAATTTGAATCGGAATAAACTCGATTTGACTCATGGATATGTATAGGATATTCACCACTGTCTGCAACCATGAAGCTATTAGCCACAATGTGCTGCAGCAGTAGGAGACTTGTGGGATACGATAAGCTTCTGAGAATAGAATAATAATAATAATTATCTATAGGACTCAAACATAATGCACTCTTCTCATCACTGATTGGCATAATGGTACACCATAATTCAAGTCATGCTAAGAACTCTCCCGTTTCCCTTGGAGTATTTTGAATTTCCACTTTTCTGACTGAAGTTTCTATTTTCATTCTCTTGTTTTATCCTGCTCAAGACAAAAAATGTGCTGTTTTCGAAATTCAATTATGAATTAAATTATCCTGTACTGAAGATTCTCGATAACTAATACTTCATATTGATAAGAAGAGAACAAGGATTGTAATTATTATATATATATATATATATATATATATATATATATATATATATATATATATATATATATATATATATATATATATATATATATATTAGGCAGTCCTACGAACCCATTCACACAAACTCACTCACCTGTGTTTACACTAACATAGTTCCGGTAGCATAGACTCAGTTGTACTTAAACAGTAGCCAATGGGATTGTCGCATCAGTCAAAGTCACATAAAACATTGATATCCAATGAAAATCTCGTTAGACATACTAGCGCTACTCATGACTCAATCAGATTTAAAGTCTTACACATGTCGTATTTCGCTGTGAACAGTCACAACTCATCACACTACTCGACTACTAACTATGAAGTTACGGCCTTTGCAATGGGGAAGTCGATCCACTACACTGAATATTCACTCCGTGTAAGCTTGTTCTGGTGCCTTTAAATATGTTAAAGACTAGGATTTCGAGTACTGTAGAAGTGTATAAATATCGTTCTGAACTGCTGTAGTCAAACATCTCTTTGGGCTGTTTTATTTCTCAAAAATAGTACTAAAAAGTTGAAAACACACTTCTAGCTTCAGTGTCCTGCCTTTCGTTATTTCTCCATGTCATTGCATTTTTACTCGTTTTATTCTTTTCTTTTTGCTGGTTTTAGCCAAATGTTGATACTACTACTACTACAGCCACTTGCAATGAACAGAAAGCTGCTGAACAACCTTCAGTTGATCAACATGTTTCTAGCACTTCTGATTCTATTATTCCTACGCCGAAACGGAAGCGTCGTAATGCACCGCGTAAAACTGTCCAAAGTCATATTCCTAATGAAGATGGGAAACCTCACGATACATTATTATCATCGAATAAGAAATCGATTGATTCAGTATCACCATGGGTTTCATCGTCTTCGATGCCAAAAAGAGGCCAAGATAAGCAAATTGATGATGAGAGTGAATTTGAATTGATAGAAATACCTAATGCATCACCTCAACCATCTTCGTCTTCCTCAGCAGCAGAATCAGAATTCGAAATGAATCCAAGTATTGAAGAGGCAATATCACCTCCCGATCTATCTCAGTTTCCTCCATTAGTTAAAGCTGATAGTGGGGATCCGATTTCAGTAACAATGGAACCAGAAGTACTCGAGGGTGGCAGACATCCACAAGCTAATAAATTGTTAAAATTAGCTCTGGGTAATAATAATAATAATAATAATAATAACAGTACTAATAATGACAAGCATGCTAATGAACAGGAAGTGCACCAACGTCAATCAACCTCTACACCAGAACCTATCGAAGCCTCTCCTATTATTGTCCCAGCAAACAGTAATAGCAACAAAGGTATTGCAAAACGTGCGAAAGCAAGGAAAGCTGACTGAATTAGTCTCAAAAATTACCTTTGTTTGGTCTGATCCCTTCCAGTTTTTTTGTTTTTCATGTAATTTTCGTCTCAGAGATGTATACGATTTCCTCATTTATAAGGGCAGATTTTGTCAGTATACTCTTTACTTGGTTGAAAGACTTCTCCTCGTATATTCATCAAGTCAGCGTGACACGTTTGTTTTATGCATAGGACATTACACTATTGTATCTCTATAGAATTCTGGTATTGTGTAGAGCGATTGATTTGATAGATATTTATCTGCAAAGGATCAGGATATAAGTCAGGGTTTTCTTCTTCTTTGATTTCTTTTCCCCGCACCACAATGATTGATGATATCGATGATGCGAAAAGGTAACTATCTCATACACACACTATATATCTTTCTTTAGTTATTATTTTAGTATAAATCTACTTATTACTTTTTACTGGTTCATTTTCCCTTGTAAATGTTTATCTTTACCTTTCTGTATGCTCTGTTACTTTTCAGCTTTCCTTCGTCTGTTTATCAAGAACGAGTGTTGTTGATAACCATCTATGTGTAATAGCAGCAAACAGCAATAGTTTATATTTTAATGACCTTTATACCAATATTCCACTTATGTATTTTTTTCTTCATCTCTTTGCTTCGTATTTGGCGCCAACAATGCTGTGATATAGCTCATTCACTAAGCTGCCAACTCATTTATAGTTACCTCATGGACTTTTTTTAAATCTTACCCATTGTTTGCTTGTAAATGTTTGCATTTCTTTTGAATTTATCCTGCTATACTGTGTGTTGACAATGTGTGTTTTGCAGCAACTATTGTGTTTTGATGGCGATTTCTTTTCATTTGTGTACCCTTATAGTTTCGCTACAAACTGTTCCTATATGTCTCTCTCTCTCTCTCTGTTTGTATGTGTGTCTAACTAACTCCCCTGTCTGATGCATGTGACTGCACTTGCCTCGTGAATAATTTCGTTCATTCTACACCATTGTCCTGTCACCATTTTTTGATTACGTAATGTTGAGTATTCATAATTAATTAGCGCATGTTTGTTAAAGATGAACTGAAATTGAATCTTCCCCCGCTTTTTTTCTTTAGTCAAAAGATGGTAGATCAAAGAGGATTTAAGATTTAATTATTATTGTTATTATCTTTATTTATCTCGGAGAAATTGAACTATATTATGATTATCGTCCCTATTTTTCTGTTGCACTTCGGTTTATTGGATTTTTTTGTTTTATTTATTTGTTTTGACGGATTAATTAATTTGTTTACATATTCATTTATATTGTGTGTTTATTTGCGCATTTGAATGAGAAAAACTGGGTTAATCACAGGAACAAATAATTTAGATGTCCTCCATCCTTTGTTTTTGTGTTATTTTACGTCAAGATAAGTGAAGGGAATTTCTATGATTCGGGTATAGAAACTGATCTTTTAAGCCCCGTATAAGCATACACATCTCCACTTGCTGGCTTGCCAAATGTTTGTTTCTTTTATCCTGCACGTACTGTTGTATGTTGCAATATGTTGAGAACTACTAAGTCGGTTGTCGAACAGGTGGAAGTAGTGATTAAGTGATCAATGTAGTACATGTAGCATCCATAAAGTTGTAATTCTACTTAACTAACATACATGTAAGTGGTTACTTTCCCCGGTATGTGAAATTGAGAGTAAATATGCGAAAATGTATAAGTGATGTGATTAAGACATTTTGGTAGTCCTTAGATTTATTTGGCTGTTCGTCTAAGGTGCAAACGTCTGTGGCATGTTGTCAGAAGGTTTTCGGTGAAATGGTTTGATTTGTCGCTTTCCAGTGATACATATGTATTCACTCATACTGATTATTATGTATTAACTTGTGTATGCGATATGCTTACAGATGGAGAGGAATGGACCTATCCTTCCTCGATTCTACGGCAGACCAAAACTACACAAATCCGATATCCCTCTACGACCAATAGCCTCACTTCCAGGAACTCCAACATACAACGTATCAAGAGAACTTTCGAGAAAACTGAAACACCTCATCCAATCATGTGGACATTCCATCAAGTCACCAACAGAATTCTTAGAAAAGATCAAAAGTATTAACACAGAAAACGAGTTAATGATATCCTTCGATGTCACAGCACTATACACATCCATCGAACGTCAATTGACCAAGGAAACGATATCCCTCCTGATCAATGAAGACAAAAACCTTTCAGAACGCACAAAACTTAAATGTTCAAGTCTGATGGAACTCATTGACCTTTGTCTGACAACATACTTCCGATTTAACGGCAAGATATACAAACAGATGAAAGGAACTCCAATGGGATCATGGATATCCGGATTAATTGTAGATGCAGAGATTGGGAGCCATCATCCTACCTGTGATCAAACCAAAAATTTGGATTCGCTATGTGGACGACACTTTTGTCATCATTAAAAAGGATGATACAGAAAACACCCACAGTTTGATCAACAACGTTTTAATGACATCAAATTCACAATGGAGAAGGAGTCAAACAACCAACTACCATTTCTGTATGTTTTAGTCAGTATGACAAGTGCCGGAAAGCTGGAAACCCAACTGTACAGGAAGCCAACACACACTGACCAAATCTCCAACTGCAATAGCAACAACACACAAAATCAGTTGCGTGCAGACTCTTCAAAAGAGCGAGAACACACTGCAGCACAACAACTTCACAGAGAAACCAAGAAAATTACTTGATGTCCACCCTAAAAAAGAACGGCTACCCACGAAACTTTATCAGAAGATGCCTATCCTGTACATCATCAACTACAAAGTCATCGACAGAAATCAGCAAACGCATCGTCCTACCGTACATAAAGAATGTATCAGAAATCACAACAAGATTGCTGAGACCACTTGAAATTGGTGTGGCTCATAAACCAACAAATTCACTCCAAACACTATTATGCAGACCAAAGGATGCAACAAGCAAAGGAAACAAACCGAATATCATTTACAAAATCAACTGCAATAACTGTAGTCAACACTATGTTGGACAAAGTGGCCGCCCTCTTCGTCTACATGAGCACCAACTGGCTATTAACTATATTACTGTTAAACTCAAGATACTACAGATACTCTGACCAATACCAGTCAAACCTCCTAAATGTTGCGCCATTCAGCCTTGTCCCTCCATTATTCAAGTGAATCAACTGAAGTGTAAAATTCATACTGTATTCTAATCTAGCTGCTTCATAAATAGCGGTGATCTACTCCTAATAACAACTGTAGACCACTGAATATAAGGATTTACAGTTTGAAACTGCCCGCCATAAGTAACTAAAGTACGCATTATAAATTCAATTATTCTATAACTTGGTCAGTTTTATGGGTTCAATGTCAATTTACGGGTCTTAATAGTTTAGATAGACTAGATTCATATTTCAAAGTCTGTCAACTTGATACCACAAAAATTGAATATTGAATTCATTTCAACATTTATTTCTATTCTGAGGTTATTTTGCAAATTGTATAGTACTTTAAGCTGTCATGTTATAACTTGTTTCATATCAATTCGATTGGGCATGAAAACTTTGTATACTATTCACAAATGTACTTATCAGCTTTTAATGAACGGAAATACTGTTAGATATATATTTATTTCTGTGTGTATGCACATCTATGCAAGTGTCAGGGGTGAGAAGTTTTAGTACTGAATCCACTAAAGCTGATACAATGACATTTGAGATTTATATCATCGTCGGTTAATTAATTAACCTCTTTTTCTTAAAAAAACTAATTTTGAATCACCCTATTAATTTATATTGGATTTATTTTGTGTTGACTAATTGGTTAGTAGGTCGTAATGAGGTATATATCTTTTATTCTTAGTGCTACTAAATTTCGTTTTTATACATTCATTTAGAACACAAACATTGTACAACATAGGCACCAAGAGATATGCCACACAAAATAATTAAACAGCATTAAGGAGATACAGAAAGTGGAAGAAAGGAAAGAAACAAAAAAGAGAAGTTGATTATTAAAGAAGCAGTCTCAATGATACATTCAGAGAAGTACTCATTACTTTTGTTTTAGATTTCAGTAGAAGAATAAGTAAGAAAACTGCAGCATGATAGCCACTGGTTTTTATTCTAACGAAAATCTTTTATTATCTTAAGCCACTGAGTTGTATGGTTTCGTGGACGCTATGTGGGGAGCAATGAAGCACCTAATCATTATAACCCAAACCTTTGATCCTTCATCCCATAGCATCAAGATGTACACTGGTCATCTCTCCTGTTCTGCCAACTGCTTCCAAAATAAGCGGACAGTGAACGCTAAGGGAGCCACTAGGATGACATGCATAACATATGTTCAAGCCACCAAAGCTGGTGCTTGGAGATGACCACACTCAGTGAACGACCATCTTAGTCGGACAGAAACACGCCACATCGCCTCGGAATTACTTTTACATGGTTCCCACGGAATCCGGGCAATTCTATGAATACAGCGGTGATCGAAAGTGCTGAATCGTCTTGTTTCCTAAACTTGGATATGCCAGGTTTCACGGGCTTAGGGCTGGACTTCCTGCACTGCTACTTTGAATATCCGAATTTTTATAGTAGTAATAACGTCATGATAGCGCCAGAGGTGACATAGATTTGATTTGCTGCTCTTGCTTTAGACGTACGACTGGAAATATCAATGACACCCCCTACTAGCATTCACGCAATTACCTATGTACACAAACTTTTGACAATTTCTGACACAGACTTCTGCTAATCTTGTAAAAGTGTTTTTTAATTCGAGGATGTGAAGCACATACCAGACTTATGAACATTTATCATCAACTGACTACGTGCAACTTCAATACTGCTGCAAAGTAAAGCGATATCTTCCTCATGCTGGAACTCTTTCTACTGTTAACAAGTCTACACCTTTTTATAGACTTCCTCCAGGGCTGTCTGGAGAACGCTATCGACTGCAAAGATGAGGAATACCGAAAACCTGTAACCCTGCCATACCCAAGTACTGGTATGGAATAATGGTGACAGATGGCTGTAAATCTTCACTCTAGCTGAAATGTTGAAGTATGAAGCTTCTGGGACGTTAACATACCACTCAGGTACACTCGTCTCTAACGGACAACTTCAGAGTACAACATTATCCAACAAACCGAAGGCAACCCTAATATTGGTGAATACAACGATCTTTGGCCTGCAATACTTATGTGAAGGTGTTCAGACATCTGTCAGAGGTCTGAGCGCTTGATGATGGTATCCATGATCTGAGATAAATCCGGCCTCCCCTTTAAGAATCAGTTTCTCACGCAATTTGCATAGCCTGCAAACTATACTGGCAGCCAACACTAGATTTTACCAGCAGTGGACTGACACCCCGATGGTTATAAAATACATTAAAGATGCATGTGATAGTAGCTTCATTTTAGTGATGGAACCCTCTTAGTTTGTCACATCTTTACAAGCAATTCGGTCATTCCATGAATATAGTCTGACCTGCATGCTTGAAAACAACTGGGGGTAGGTTGTATGGGCTGGGTGCCTTATAGCTTTAGAACTTGAATTTTCTTACGGACCTTTGCTTCGTTGTAATGGCCAGTGGCCAATGACGTCGGAGCTAAGGACATTAAGGGTGATTTTGTTAGAGTAGTAGGTGAGCTGAACTACTTTTTGAAGTGCTTCCTGCAACGTCCCAGGCGTCCTTATAAGTTATTGATCGGCTTACTATCTGTATCACACAGACCGTCTCACTGAAATCACACTTCTTGCTGTTAGTTTCTTGGATGAACTAGACCAGCTTTGCACAGTTCTGAGATGTAACTGCTGCATTTTTCTCATTTAGCACATTCTGACCATCTGGCCTCAATCCTTGAGTTAGTGTTGCCTTATCTATTGCTTGATGGACTACCACACCATATTATACCCACTACCTGCTTTAATACATGGACAAGAATTATAAAGTCGCAAACATCCATCAGAGGTGGGGGAATTTTTGACAGAATATCCTTAAAACCTAGAAACAGGCGCACTCACTGTTTTCATGGTGTTTGTTAGTGAATTCAAGGCTTATCTATGTTTTCTGGAGGTTCGACCGTTAGTCCTGAATCTGGCTTGGTTTGGTATTTAGCTTCAACAATAAGTGCAGCTAGTTTGCTTGCGTCTACCAGTTCATGGCGAGAATTTTGATGACTGTCTTGACGAGAAGTGAAGTAAGCAGACACAAGGATGTGCGGGATCAGAGCTCAGGTATGGTCTGAAGAAAGAATGATAGTCGTGAGTATACGTAAGCCATCGGTAGCTGATTGTAGTGTGACGTGTTTGATTCTGGGCGTGCATTGCAGAGGAAGAACGCTAATTAGCACAATGGTGAAG